TTGACCATTGTAGGTTATGTATCAACAGGCTGTCCCAAAACTACAGTATTAGTCACTGGAGCAGCAAAGGTCAGTGGGGTCATTAGATTATTTTGGAAAAGACAGGTTCTGTACTTTTAACCAATAGTTAGTCACTGCAGTTTCCAGCAGACCAGCATCATCAGGAAGTGCACATTTCACAGCAAATGCTCAGTCTGGAGAGAAAATCTTAACATGCAATGTGTAGGTTTTTCCCTCCTTCCCTCCCTTTTTATTATTCTCTCTTTTCGTTGTATCTTTCTTTCACTCCAGTTTTTATTTTCTCCTGCCCTTTGTCCCCCTTTCTCTCTACCCCTACCTTTACATTCTCTTTTTCCTGAGATAGACCATTCTTCTCCATATACCCATTTAATTACAGGTCACATGTACATATGAAACAATCTTCTCATGTGTAGGAAACTACTGTATTGTTAGAAATCTTCTTAGGGAGATCTGATTGGCTGTACAGTTGTCAAAACCTGTCGGGCACATAAATGGTGTTCTCACCAACCTCACCGCAACGCATTGGTGGATGATTGTAAAAAAGCTGAAGGTAGTTCTCAATTTATCTACAGCTAAGTGTGCCTGCTGGGTACAGCAGGAATTTCAGGCAGTCAGAAAGATGTATCAGTATGGAGCTAAGAATTTCCTTTACGATGGAAGAACTGGCAGCTGGTGAGCCTAATGTCAGTAAGTTGTTGGAAGGGATTCTGAGAGACAGGATCTACATGCATTGGAAAGGCAAGGACTGATTAAGGACAATCAGCATAGCTTTGTGCATGGGAAATCGTGTCTCTCAAATTTGATTGAGTTTTTTGAAGAGGTATTCCGGAAGATAAGTGAAGGCAGAGCAGTAGACATTGTCTATACGAACTTTAGCAAGTCTTTCAACAAGGTTCCACATGGTAGACTGGTTAGTAAGGTTGGATCACATGGTATCCAGGAAGAGCTAGCCAATTGGATACAAAATTGGCTTGATGGTAGGAGACAGGGTGGTAGTAGAGGGTTGTTGTTCAGACTGGAGGCCTGTGACCAGCAGTGTACTGCAAGAATTGGTGCTGGGTCCACTGTTGTTTGTCATTGATGTAAACAAATTGGATGAGCGTTTCGGAGGCATGTTTAGTAGCTTTGCAGATAGCACCAAAATTGGTGGTATAGTGGACAGTGAAGAAAGTTACCAAAGAGTACAGCAGGGTCTTGATCAATTGGGCCATGGGCCAAGGAATGGCAGATGAAGTTTTGGCATGTGATGTGTTGCATTTTGATAAGACAAACCAGGGCAGGACTTTAACAGTGTTGTCAAACAGAGAAATCTAGGGGTGCAGGCACATAGTTCCTTGAAAGTGGCATACGCAAGTAGACAGGGTGGTGAAGAAGGCATTTGGCATGCTTGACTTTATCAGTCAGAGCACTGAGTACAGGAGTTGGGATGTCATGTAACCGCTGTACAAGACATTGGTAAGGCTATATTTGGGGTACTGTGTACAGTGCTGGTTGTACTGCTACAGGAAGAATGTTGTTAAACTGGAAAGGGTGAGAAAAAGGTTTACAAGCATGTTACTAAAACTGGAAGGTTAGATTACATGGATAGACTGGGATTTTTTTGCCTGGAGTGTAGGAGGCTGAGGTTTGACTTTATAGAGGTTTATAAAATCAAAGGGGCATAGATGGGGTGAATAGCAAGGTCTTTTCCCCAGGGAAGGGGAGTCCAAAACTAGAGGCCATAGGTTTAAGGTGAGAGGGGAAACATTTAAATGGTTTCTGAGAGGCAACGTTTTCATTCAGAGGATCGTGCGTTTTTTGAACGAGCTGCCAGAGGAAGTGGTATGGGGGAGGAAAACTAAACATTTAAAAGACTTCGGACAGGTATAGAGATAGGAAGGGCTTAGAGGGATAGCAAGGTGTAGAGCTGGATGAATGCAGCAGGCCAAGCAGCATCAGAGGAGCAGGAAGGCTGACGTTTTGGGCCTAGACCCTTCTTCAGAAATGCTTAGAGGGATATGGGCCAATTGCAGGCAAGTGGGACCAGTTCAGTTTAGGAAACCAGGGACGAGTTGCGCTGAAGAATCTGTTTTGTGCTCCATGACTCTATCAGCCACTTGTCGAGGTTTCAGCAGGTCTTGATTGGAACTGTTTCAAAAACTGAAAGAGCTCTCAATAAGACGTGAAGCAGGTAATTCTGAAGCAGTGGGTTTCGTGCGATTGCAGTGAATCGGCAAAGGTTTTCTGAATTTTCGTCTCTGCCACTTTTGAATTACACCAACAATCAACGATAACCATAGGAAAGGAGAGAAATATCTCACATCTCAGCATGTGCTCAGACCAAAAGCCTGTGGATTTTCGGAAATATTTTCAACTTTCTGACACGATGGCTGGCCAATGAAGAGGACTATGGAATCGCAGGCCACTTCAATATTTCTGTGAAGCTTCTAGAAAGGCCAGGATGCTTGAGTGAGTTGGGTGCGGGAAGAGCGGCTGTTAAGTGAGTGAATGAAGGAGTGGGGGTTTGGAAAGAGGCCTCCGAAGAATGAGATAACAAGGTGTGGAGCTTCATTTTTCTGAAGAAGGGTCCAGACCCGAAACGTCAGCTTTCCTGCTCCTCTGATGCTGCCTCCCCTGCTGTGTTCATCCAGCTCCACGCCTTGTTATCTCAGACTCCAGCATCGGCAGTTCCTTCTACCTCCTGAGAATGAGTTGAGGGAATTGGGAAGAAGGGTTGATGAGTGTGCGTGTAGGGGGTACGTGTGCGCAAATTGTCAGTACTTGGCAATAGATAATGATGTGAATTGGAAATGTCAGCTGTGTGCAACAGACGGCGTTAGTCTGGGTTCGAGTTGACACACGTTGGAGACGGGAAATTAGGAGCGTTATTCCGATCGCAAATGACCTGGTGAGACTCATTCTCACATTGGCAGTGAAAAGGTTTATACTGCCTCAACTCGTCCAACATGTTTTCGATCCGACTGGCGAAACTTAGCACTGAACGGGTTAATAGTGAAACTGCCGGATATCTACTTTCTGCAGGTATGACCCGCGCAGAACAAACTGCAGCCTGCAAGCTGGAATTATCAATTCTTCATCAGAAGCAAAACAAGCCTGGGCAGTCCAGAGCTCTTCCCGCTGTCTTTACAGGATACCCTTTAAGCAGTATGTTGCTGGAATGAAGCATTCCTGGATTTCCTCCAATTTTACAATGCATCCGGACATGGTCTCTACTTGAGATTTATAGCTTAAACAATAATTTGTATATGTACAGAACCACTTTGTTCTGAGGAAGGGTCACCGGTCCCGAAAATTTAACTCTTCACAGATACTGGCAGGCTTTTCCAGCGACTTTGTTTTTAGAATGGAATACAAACAGTGTGGAAACAGGCCCTTCGGCCCAACAAGTTCACACCGACCCTCAGAGCATCCCCCTATAACTCACCTAATCTACACATCCCTGAACACTACGAGCAATTTAGCATGGCCAATCCACCTAGCCTGCACTTCTTTGGATTGTGGGAGGAAACCGGAGCACCCGGAGGAAACCCACGCACACACAGGGAGAATGTGCAAACTCCACACAGACAGTCGCCCGAGGGTGGAATCGCACCTGGGGCCCTGGTGCTGTGAGGCAGCAGCGCTAACCACTGAGCCATCGTGCTGCCCTTTGTACCCCTTTATACAAGTCAGAAAGCGTTGAGGCAGCCAACCCTGAACTCTAGCATCTGAGGTTGTGCTGTTTGAGAATAGTGCGTATAAGTTTTGTATATGAGCATGTTTGTATGAGTCCGTGTGAATGTTTGTGTATAAGTGTGTGCATCTGCGTCAGTGAATGTGTATAAGAATGAGGGTGCGTGTGTTTGGTGTTTGGACTGTGCGCGCTGTGGAATTCGCCGAAGGACTTTGTTAAAATAAACTTCCAGACAGCAGAAAACACCCGAAATAAAACTGAAAAAACGAGGCACTCGCCGTCTCCAGTTTCTAGCACAATCTATGAACTAAATTGGACTTTCCTTGCTCTTCATCTGTTTGGTTACAAAAATGACCATTGCTCTGTTGTCAGCCTTCTGTCTGTTTAATCAAAAACAGAGCAGATAGGAATTCGTGAACAGAAAATATTAGGCTACAGAGAAAGAACGGTTTTACATCACAGAACGAGATCACTCAGAGCAGTGATGAGGGCGTTAAATTGCACAGTGAGCGAAAAGAGGGAGGGAGGGAAGGAGAAACTCGGGGTGGGGGGGGAGGGGGGAATGAGAGATACAGAAAGAGGAAAGAAAAAGACAGAAGTTGCTGGAAAAAACTCAGGTCCAGCAGCATCTGTGGAGAGAGAGCAGAATTAACGTTTCCGGTCCAGTGACTTCTTCAGAATGGGTGAGAATAAGAATTGGGAAAATGAGGATAGGATGTGGGAGAAAAGAGAGAAGAGGGATTTATTCGTTGAGAAGGGGGGAGAGAGGTTTAATTATGGGTGGGAAAGAGGATTAATCCTGGAGGAGAAAGAGATTAGCGACATGGTTGATTAGTGGTTAGCACTGCTGTCTCACAGGACCAGGGACCCCAGTTATAGTTTGATTTCTATGTGGAGTTTGCACATTCTCTCCGTGTCTGCTTGGGTTTTGTCCAGGTGTGCCGGTTTCCTCCCACAGTCTAAAGATGCGCAGGTTAGGTGAATTGGCCATGCTAAATTGCCCATAGTGTCCAGGGATGATAAAGCTAGTTGGATTAGCCACGTGAAATGTAGGCGATAGTGTTGGCTTATGGTATGCTCCTCGGAGGCTCAGTGTCGACTGGGTGTGTGCCGAATGGCCTGTTTCCACACTGTAGGGATTCTGTGAGATGGTTAACCCAGAGAAGATGGAGAGGGAGTTACTGCGTTGAGTGATTACCGTTTGAGCAGCAAAGGGTTAAACTGAAGGAGGGGTTACTCCGTTGAGAAGGAGGAGGGGAGGGCCGATGGGTTGAATGCGAGCACTTCATAGTGTGCCTACGTCCGCTGGCCCGGGAGCTTGCCTCGCTTCTCTCACAGCCGGGACTGGCTGTTCTTTTAAAGGGAGTTGGGGCAGTCCCAGCAATCGACCACATGGTGACTGTTCCAATAGCACAGTGGGAGCAGAAAGCGGTCGGTGCCCGAGAGCCGAGTTGCTGCCTTTGCAAGTGCTGGGTATGTGTCTGTCTGTGTAAGAGAGAGAGAGGATCGGGCGCTGCGATTGGACCTCCCAGCCCCCTCTCTTTGCCTATCCCCTCGCCTCTTTCTTTCACTAACTCTCCTTGTGTCGGACAGAGATGCAAGAGGATGGCTGGCTGGTCAGGAGGAGCTGGGAGCCCAGCTTTCATGCTGAAGAGGTGCTGAGCTCTTGGGGACTGACGAGGGGCAGGGAGACCGCACCGTGAAGCCCCCTCCTCTCACTGGCTTGGCCGGGATGAGGCTCCTGCTGGCCGCCCTGACTCTGCTCTCTCTCCGTGGCGGATCGGCCTCCGCTGCGCCGAGCCGAGCGAAAAGTTTGCGAACTCTGCTCGCGGTTCCCGGTGTGCCGAGGAAGAGGCCCCCGGCCCGGGCGTTGCTTTCCCAAGATGTTTTCTGGAGTGATGGCCTTGACCGCTCTCTGGCCGCGGGCTTCTCCGAGCTGCACGTCAAGCGCTGGCAGCTGAAAGCCCGCTCCTCCCGGCTCGTCTCCTTGGACCCAGGCTGCGGCAGGTTGTCCAACAGGCTGGCCAGCTTCTCAGATGGCACCAGAGCTTGTGTCAGGTATGGCATCAACCCCGACCAGGTGCTTGGCGAGACCCTTTCGTTCTATCTCTCCAGGCTCCTGGGTATTCACAACGTGCCGGCCCTGGCCCTGTCCAGGGTCAGTATCAATGCCGAGCAATGGTTGGGGGTCAGGAGCGATGTCCAAGGCTCTCAATGGGCGGATAAACCCATCGTCAGTCTTACTGAGTGGATCAGCAACCTCAGCGACGTGGTGACCCCGCCATCCCTCCGGACAGAAGGAAGGACGCTGCACCCCAGCCTGAAAGATCTCGCCAATGTGACCAGCCAAGAGCTGATAGAGCTTGTGCAATGGTCAGACCTCATCCTTTTCGATTACCTGATCGCCAATTTCGACAGACTGGCCAGCAATCTCCTGAGCCTGCAGTGGGACTCCAGGGTAATGGAGAGGTCGACCAACAATCTCCACCGGACTGCGAAGGGGGCTCTGGTCTTTATCGACAACGAGGCGGGACTGATCCATGGGTACCGAGTGCTGTCCATGTGGGACCGGTATCACGAATCACTGCTGAAGACACTCTGCATCTTCCGGAAGGAAACCGCCAGGAAAATCGCTGAGCTGCATAAGTCCCAGAATGTTGCCCAGCAGTTGTTAGATCTGTATAGGGAAAATGAACCCCTGGCCTCTCAAATGGGATTCCTTTCTGAAGAACATGCTCAGATGTTGCAAAACAGAACTGATCGATTGTATAAACACATACTGCAATGTAAAGCTAAATATAGTAAATAAGTTTTCATGGCTGTTTAAATTTTAGATTTTGTTTCAAGTTCCCCATTAGAGTTAAATTTCCTCCCCCCACCCCCATTGTCTTTGCTGACGGGGAAGGGTGCTCCAGCCATATGGATAATATTAACCAATAGACCACCAGGAGGTGCTCTTGATAAAAATTCTGAGAGATGCCTCTGGCTAATTCTATGGACGATTGATAAACTCCTGGCCTGAAAGAAGGAAATCTAAATTTGTAATTTGCAGAGGGCTGGAAGCACTATGTTGAGCAGATGCATTTGTTCTGTGGGTGTGGGCTAGCTGGGGCTGGTATGATGAACCAGAGACAACAAAAATCAGAGAAGCCATTGGGAGATTCTTATTCAAACTGTGTGTACGTAAAAATTCTTATTCTGACATATGTTCGGTTTTAATGGCTTTATTGTAACACCTTGGAAATGAAATTTGTAACATAAAACAGCTGCCAATTTTAAACACAACCCCAATTCTGAGTTGCCAATTTGCCTGTGTCACCACTTGCAAATTTAATTCTTCCTTGTACAGTTTCAAAATGAGTATACACCATCAATTTATTGTTCTGGAGTGTACTCTAAACAAAACAGACTCTTGTTTTCTTTTAGTTACTGCAATGTAGCTGCTTCCCAGCAGGTTCTACCTCATGCCTAGCATATAAAGTGGCAGATGATTATCTGGATGGTGTCAGTCATGCAGGTTCACCATTGTGTGTGAAGTCACACATTTTAAACTTAAAATAAAATACATATCACGTTACAGATTGTTGATGGTCGAGTCTTATAAGTAGGAATAGGAATAGTCCATTCAGCATTTCAAGCTTGTTTTGCCATTCAGTTAGATTAGGACTAATCAACATATTCCAGCCTTAGTGCCATATCCTTCGATACCTTTTAACAAAAAAAGGCTAATCTTTTTTATGGAGATTTTTAATTGGCCCAGCTTTTTTGGGGAGGGTTCAGCTTTGTACTAAGCACTGTAAAGAAAAGTGCTTCCTGATTTCCCTGCTAAGTGTGTTAGTTATCTTAAAATTACAGGCCCCTTATTCTGAATTCCCACATTAATGATTATTGGTCAGCAATCCTAAATAGAGTGATTTTTCTGATGTATGAAGGCATCTGCCTGTTAAGAATTGTGACTGCACATTTGAAGCTTGAGGAAATTGAATTTTCCTCCCAGATTTCTCAATCTCATACCTCAGATGATAGAGTGGCCTGGATTCACCATTGAAATATTCAGTTACTGTATGAATGTAGCACTATCAGTTCTAGTCTCATTCATTGCAATTGAAGCCCACCTTTCTCTCTCTTTACATGATAGACAGGAAACGATTGTTCTTGATCCATCTGTGCTATATAGTAGGAAGTAATTGCTAGTGTCTGTGTCAGATCATGAAAGAAGGACTCTGTGCTGGGCATTGGTATTTTAAAATGTCACATAAAAGGGGGCTATCTCATAAATTCAAAGAAAAAGTTGCCCATCTCAGAAACGTAGGTGGAATGGAATGACAATTCCGTATATACCCCAGGTTGATTTTTTGATAAATTATATTTTTTAAAAAGCTGATCAAGATGGGATGGAACAACGTGGGAAATAAATTGAGAATTTAAAATAGGAAAATGTACATTTCCTTTCAGAATCTTGCAGCAACTGATGTGTTATTTTGTGCATATCATTAGATCAATGATAATTAAATACATCCAAAAGATTGCAACAATTCCTAGTTTGGAAATTATGTGAATCACAATAATATTCTACTTTTTTGAATTTGAAGCTTGGACTGTGTCAAACAGAATTGACTTTGTTTATAACTGTGACGAGGCTGATCTCTCTCAAACCAAATAATTTCTGTTTGGAAATGTGACCAAGCACTATCTACAACAGCCCTAGTTTATTCATGAAACCAGCATCTGCCTAACACAGGCTAGGTCCGATTTAAAAATGGGACAATTATTGAGAAGTTTTTTCTAAGTTATACATACTATTTAAATGCAAATGCATTGATAACCAGGGATTAACACTTTAAAGAATTGGCACAAGAAATAGTGGAAAATGAGAATGTTTTTCAGAGATAGTTGTTAATTTTTTTGTGATATGTAGTGGAGTATTGGAAGCAAATTCCATAGAAGCTATCAAAAGGCAATTAACCATCCGCTTAAAGAAACTCATTTTCAAGATTACAGGGAAAATGTTGGGATCTGGGTTAAATTTTACAGCATTTTGTTTTTACAAAAGCCCCAAAGGATTCTTCTATGATGCTGTATGAATCAGTGATACGGAATTAGTTTTGGTTCTAATTGTGATTAGGATCCAGTACTATCTAAGGGGAGCTGGTAAACAATCCCATCTGTTGTTCCTGAAGTCGTGGCTTGTGATGGCTTCTTGTGATCTGTGAATGTTAATTAAGTATCTTTGATATGCTCACAGAAATTAATTGATTAATTTGGGAAATATTCGTATGTGTAGGATTTACTTAACCATTGGAAACATTGTAAACTCAAATTTGTCAGAATCATGCAAGCAGGCAAGTGAGTTCTCTAAAGAGTTCAGAAGTTGCAATATGCTGCCTATGTATACCTATGGCAGTTATTAGTCCAGAATAGTTTTGAAATGCTTACAGTGTCAATCATATTTAGAATGTTACAATGAAAACATTTGGTTTAAAATGAGTAAATATTAACTGCTGCTTTGAGCCTTCAGTAATTTGACCTGCTCATCTTCAGTGTACAAATTGTAACAACTCCATGTGGATAAAGTGTTTACATCGGCTTACACACAGAAACGGACTATTCAGCCAATCATTCTACATTACTCATTTTTAATACATTTAAAATACCAATGACAGGGTCAAGCCTCTTGCTTGTAACTGTGCTGATAGTTTTTTTTGTTCAAGAAGGGTGATTTGGTGGTGACCTATCTAGTCACATTCAATGACAGCATTCTGGATTATGGTCTTAGTAGAAAATGAGGCACTTTCTAGTTGCAAGGCAAATGCCTGATAGTGTGCTCCATATGTTTTTGTGTTGATATTCAAGGCAGAGGTGGTTCCAAGGAAATGGCTATATAACACCTGTGTCTAAAATGAAAGCCATCTGTTGTACAGTGATGCTGCTTCTCAAAGAAGACATTGTAAAGCATATAGTTTAGAACGAAAATGAAAGACATTTTAATAAATTAATGGTTTATATTTTAGTCATAATCCAGCTATTTTAATTAAATCTGCTATTTCTACTGGTTAGACATTAGCAGTTGAGGAATAATGAGGCAGTAAAGCAACGTATCTAAATGAAAATGAGATTTTGAAGTGAACAGGGAATCATCAATTTGCTATTTACAGTTGTGTATTGACTGTCAACCACAGAGAAAGACACTCTTCATCTTTTCAAAAGCCACCCAATTCAAATTGTTAAAAAGTAGATGCTGTCTCTACATTGGTACAGATTGGTATCTCTCAGGCAACACTTGATTATGAAATTTTTGTTTTAGAATTGCTGTCAGAAACTACCTGAGTGAAGATGATTTATGTAGCAAGTTCCTCTACTTAAGTGGCACCTTGAACAGATCCAGTCACAACCCTATGAAGTACAGTGCAATGTAGACTAAAATACTAATGCATGTGCAAACAGCAGTGACAATTTCATGCTCACTTTGTAGGTCAGACTTCTCCATTAAACTTAATGCTTGGAATTAGTTTCCATCAAAATCCATGGGTATGAATGGTTGGGAGTGAGGGGGCATAGGTGGGCATCTCCATTTTAAAATCTACAACATATTCATTAAAACTGCAGTAGACTGTGTAACCGTATGGACAATTAGGCTGTTAATTGACATGATAGCTTGGTAACTGCTCCATTCATCTTAACATTTTATCATCTCTTTATTAAAAAATTCAGGAATTTTCTCAGGTAGCAAAATAGGTTCACAAATTACCTGGTGTGGTATTAATGATACATACCAGGTGTCTATGATTCAGTGCTCAATCTGTGCTGAGTGATCCATTTCCTGCTGAGACCTTGATGCACAGCACAGTGATCCCTGATAATTTTGTTCATTATTTTTAAACATACATTCCTACAGCCTTGGCCAACTTTGACATGAGACTTAAGTGTCTTTTAAAATTTAATATCATTTCCAAGTAAAGTGCAATGACTGCACAATGAATCTTTGCATAGCATTCCCACAAGGCAAACGTTGATCCTGGTTAAACCTCATTCAGTGTATCTCCAAACTAGCAGAATAGGCAAGGGCAGAAAATATGGGAGGACAAATATTATGAAGGGTGTTGTCATGCATGCTTCCCCTTTAAAAAATCTCATGGTTGCTGTTTATTACTTGCTACCTATCTCTCCAAACCCTCCTCACATACAGAATGTCATGTAAAAACTGTCCATGCAAGGTATAATTAGCTCTCTCTAGGTGTACGCCTTAGCATAAGGAAAACAAAAAAGTTTGCATTGTCCCTCTTCAGTATTGTGAAAGGAGACAGCAAGTGAAATTGGTTAGAAAGAGTATGCAAAATGAGTATTTTGGGAGCAGTATGTGTGGGCATCTGGATGAGATCTGGGATTTGGCAACATTAGCTGAGTACAGATTCCTTCTGCCCCACCCACACCCCCACCACCCTTCTCTATTTCTCACACCTAATTCAGAGGACAGATAAGTGGTCTAATGTAGTAGTTTACTGTATCCATACATCCTTCCTGTAATTACACACACAGTGCAGTGGTGGGAGGATTAAATTGTTGAGCAGATGAAAGAATGCACGCAGAGCACACACTGTAGAATTACATATTAAATAGAGCTTTCAGCACAAAAACCAGACCTTTTCAATGGTCTATAGCTGTGATTATGCTTTGCATATTAATAGATATAAACAAATCATAAATGTGTCTCCTTTATTCAGTTTGCAGAAATACAACCAGGAGTTATCTGTCGTGTGGATATCTTTAAGAATGATTGTGGGTGAAGGGGTGGGATGTGATTTTGTAATGCATGCTTTTTCTGATGCACTGCAATTGAGTGACATCTGTTTGACTAATGTCAAGCTCATTTATTTCTTGAAAAACTGTTGTTAGTATTGCTTTTGCTGGCATACTTAAAGTGTGATGGTTACTGAGTAAAAAGAAAATCTTTCAAATGAATGTCAAAGATGCTGATGTGATGGATGCACACCCAAGCCCGAAATTTTCCATGGTGAAATCTCTGGAATTGCAACTCACATTATTTTGGTGAAGATATTTTAAAAAATGGAGTCAGATTCCAATTGAATCTGACTGTTCTATGGCAAGGACTAAGTCATGCGTCAACAGCCAAGGAGTGTGTATGTAGCGTACTTAGCCACAGATTGGAATCTATTTATTTTAATTTATTGGCTAAATCTTGAAAATGTGTATTAGTTCTGTGATATACATTTGCTTTTTGTCCCTCTGATGGTCAGGATGATGCACTGTTTGCACAGTGTATGACTACACCAATTCTATCCCCTATTGATTCATTGCAGAATAGGTGCCCACACAGCGCAAGATGGAAATGATGTGCAAGGCTTCATCAATTTAGTTCTCTTTCATCACATCCTGCCAAACATCCATTCCATATGTTCTTCATTCTTTTGAATGAAGGAGAATCTTCTAAAATCAATCGCCTAAAACTGTATTTCCTTGTCCTACTTCCACAGCTCAACTAGAATTGATATTTCACAATTACTTTACGCCATTTTCAATCTTTTACAGTTCCGGAACATGCCCTGAAGGTTGAAGAAGGTGGGTTTCTCCAGTTCTTAGTTTTCCAATTCTCCAGTACTAGGAACCATACTTGTGGCCCTTCTCTGGGGGACAGTGCTTACTGCCTTGAAACATTCCTAAGGTCTACTACACCTCTTGGTTACTCCAAACTACATCTAAAAGTGTCATCTCACTTTTAGAGGATTTTCTGGGATCACTATGTTAGCGACATCATGAACATAATGGGAAGTTTTTTTTGATGTTTGTTATTTCTGGTGAAATAATGTTAAAGTGTGATGTTTATAATTTTACTCAAAATAGTGCTCAGATGTCACTAATGCATGATGGCTGTTGAAAGTCCTTCTTCACTTCAATGTTGAAGTCTCCAGGTCATTTTACACAGACTGAGAGTGTGGTGGATTCCACAATGTGTAGCTGAGATATCATGTCTTTTACCAGTGTATCCACATATTGCACAGCATTAAGCCCTTTCTTTAATGACGAGCCATTTATACTTGAAGTCTGTGGAAGTGTATAACTTTTATTTAAATTTCTGCAGTGGCCATTTGATGTCCAGTGGAAAAGTGAAATTTTTGTTTATTATTCACAAATGTACAACATCTCTCTAATGCACCTTATATTTTGTTAATATGTTCTAAAGGATGTCTGAACTATTGTATTAAGATATTGGAAGGCATTATCAAACTTAAAAATGTTATGCATAAAAATAAAATATTTGCCCACTCCTTTCGTCATTTTGAACTTTGTTGACATTGATTCTAATTTATTTGATCAAAGGATTTGAGAACCATAGGAAGGCCAGTATTTGTTGCTTATCCCTAACTGTCTTTTGAGAAGGTGGCAGGGACTGCTGCAGACTATCTGGCGTTGATACATCCTTAGTGCTGTAAGGGGACAGGAAGTTTCCAGGATTTTGAGCAGTTGTACTGAAAGAACAGCAACCTAGTTCCAAGTCAGGATGATAAGTGACTTGGAGGGAAACTTGCAAGTGGTGGTTCCCATGCTTCTGCACTTGCACTTTTGGTGATAGCAATTGCAGATTTGGTGCTATTTACGGAGGCTTCATGATTTGTAACGTGGCGTCTTTTATATGGTCCATTCTGCTGCTAAATTCATTATCAGAGAAATGAAAAGTGCTTGAATTTGCAAAAGCAAAAATAACTTTTAAAAAAAATCATTATTTCAATCATTCAATAAGAGCTGAAAAACCACAGATCTTTCCTAGTGGGTAAAGAAGAAGGTAACAGAAAGAGGGACCAATCTAAGTGTCGTTGGATAAAGGCCATCACAGCGGTTGCAGATGAACTACAATGAATGTGTAAGGATGCACAAGACGCAAACATGACATATTATGTCAGCAGATCTCCAGAAGACATAATATATAGGAACAGAAATAGGCCTATCAGTGCCTTGAGTCTGCTCCACCATTCAATGGATCATGGTTGATCCGACATTCCTTACATCCACTTTCTTAACATTTCTCTGTAACCCTTGATTCCCTGACTGATCAAGAATCCAACCACTTCAACCTTAAAAATACACATGGATTCTGCTGCCACGGTTCCCTGTGGCAAAGAATTCCAAAGCCTCACGACCCTCATGTCAGTCTTAAATTGCACCCTGTTATTTTGAGACTCTACCCTCTGATTCTAAACTCTTTTGAGGGGTAATATCCTTTCAGCATTTACCCTGTCAAGCCCCTTAAGACTTATATGTTTCAATGAGATCACCTCTAATTCTTCTAAACTCCAGTGAGTACTGTCCCAAGCTGTTTAACTGTTTAGCTGTTAACCTGTTAGCAGAAGGGGTGAAAACACAGAATAAATCTCCTTTGATTCTTTCAGGGAGTTCAAAAGTAAATAATAGTGAAACATCCCTCTTAGTGGTACCAAATCAAAATCATACACAATTGGAAAAAGTCAAATGGAAATATATAGACCTTACTAAATCAAAATGATGTCATCCAGACTAATGATGCACTCTAGCCCCTGCAGTGCCCACTGATTTCAGAAGGCTTCGACTGCTGGTGGGACCACATGAAGACAATCCCTTCATTCTGGGGATCATTCTAGTGAACCTTCTCTGAACTTCCTCTCATGAAACGATATATTTCCTTAAAAGGGTACCAAAACTGCTCACGGTACTCCAGATGTGGTCTCATCAGCACCTTGTATAGTTTCAGTCAGACTTCCCTACTCTTATACTCTAACCCCCTTGAAATGAGGGCTAACATTCCATTAGCCTTCCTGTTTATCTGCTGCACCTGCATGCTAGCTTTCTGTGTTTCATGTACAATTATCCCCAAAGTCACTGCATGGCAGCTTACTGCATCTTTTCTCCATTTAAATAATATTCTTCCTTCCAAACTTGCCCAGTTACTTAATCTATCAATGTCACTCTGTAAATTATTCATATAACTTTCCTCTCCGCCTATTTTTCTGTTGTCTGTAAAATTGGCTACAGAACATTCACATCCTTCCTCTCAGTCATTAATATATATTGTAAATAGTTGTGGTTTCAGCACTGTGTGGAACCCCCATGTGTCACAGGTTGCTAATATAAAAAAGAACCCCATATCTCCACTTACTAATTCCTGCCCATAAGCCAATTCTGTATCCATGTCAATATACTACCTCCAACATCGCGGCTCATATGACCTAACCCTTTGTGGGGTATCTCGAATGTCTTCTGGAAGGTCAAATACAACACATACTCAAAAAACACCAATAAATTAGTCAGATATAATTTCCCTTTTATGAATCCATGCTGATTCTGCTTGATTAGATTATGATTTTCTGAAAGTTCTCCTGTTATTTCCTTAATAATTGTATCCAACACTTTCCCGACAAGGAACCACTCAGAATATAGTGGGAATTGACATTACTTCTCAGTTCTAAGGGCCCCACTTTATGCCATTTCACTTCTTTCTGTCTCATTGAATAAAATGGGCAAGCTAGATATTGTTACAAATGGAAATCTGTTAATCTTGGGAGGAAGCCCCTCGGAGTTCTGATATTCACTTTGATTTCCATCTGCCAATCAGGAAAAGGGGGCCAAGTCTTCAAGAAGAAGTGAGTTAATAGCTCTGAACCTTGCAAGCAGAAGCTGTGAGGTTGGCGTTGTGTATGCCCTATACTTCAAGCTAGAAGAAGGGTCTTCATGTGGAGAAACAGTTGTGCAATGGCTAAAGCAGGGAATAGGACAACAAAGATGCCAGTTCACTGAAGAGCAGAGCCACCTGCTAGCTCTGCTGCAGTGGACCCACAAGTTGATTTTTACGTCCCTTTTTAACAAGGATCTCCAATGACCATATATTTGGAAATGCTAGATGCACCGTAGCCAGGACAGAATAGTGCTTATTCCAAAAGACTACTCACAGGGCTGATCTAATGGTTCGGTGATATGAGTTCAGATATCTCTCATGGCAAGTGGGGAATTTATATAAATTATAACAATGCTGTACCAATAACTGTATCTATGTAACAACCAGATAGTTAGAAAAATACATTTAGTTCACTGATGTCCTTTAATGAAGAACATCAGTGCTGTTCAGTACCACCCTGCCAACCTCCGTATCCAGCGCATCATCCTCTGCCACTTTCGCCACCTGCAATCCGACCCCACTACCAAAGAGATATTTCCCTTCCACCCCTATCTGCCTTTGTAGAGACTGCTAACTCCACAACTCCCTCATCAGCTCCACACTCCCCACCAACCCCACCACACCCGGTACCTTTCCCTGCAACCACAAGACATGTTGCACCTTCCCCTACACCTCCCCCTCACCTCTGTCCAAGGCCCCAGACAGTCTTTCTAAATCCGACAGGGATTCACCTGTACATCCTCCAACCTGGTTTACTATATCCATTGCTCCCATTGTGGTCTCCTTCACATCGGTAAGACCGAGAGCAGACTCAGTGACCAGTTCACAGAGCATCTGCGCTGTCAATGCTATAATCAACAACACCTTCCAGTTGCCAAACATTTTAACTCCCCCTCCCACTCCCTTGGTGACACGTCCATCCTGGGCCTCCTCCAGTGTTACAATGATGCAATGCCCAAACTGGAGGATCAACACCTCATATTCTGCCTTGGGAATTTATAGCCCAATGGCCTCAACATAGAATTCACCAGCTTCAAATCTCCCCACCCCACCCCCTCAGCCTTATCCCATGTCCAACCCTCCCCCTCTTACCCGCCTTCTTGACCTGAAGCAACCTGTCCATCTTCTTCCCCACCTATCTACCCACCCTTCCCACTGATCAATATCCATTACCCCCTACCTGCATTCACCTATCACCATCCCGCCAACCTTCCCCCAACCCCGCACCCCAGTATTTATTTCCAAGCTCTCTTTCCTCTCCCCATCCTGATAAAGGGTGTAGACCCGATACATTGACTTTTCAGCTCCTCTGATGCTCCCTGACCTGCTGTGTTCCTCCAACTCCACACTGTATTGACTCTGACTCCAATTCCAGCATCTGCAGTTCTTGCTATCTCTCAGTGGTATTCTTATTTGGTTCATCCACCACTTGACTCCAGACCCACAATGTGCTTGAGATTTATTTGCATCTGAAATATCTGAACAAGCCATTCAGTTGTATTCAAAAAGACGGCTCAACAATATCTTCTCAAAGGTAGTTAGGAATAGGCAATAAATGCCAGCAATATCCATACATCATGAATGATTTTTTTAAAAAACAAAACCTTCCAATGAAATTGTGCACAATGGTTCAGACTGTAGAGATATTTAAACCCAGCATCCTGGGGACTTCACATAGAGGATGCTCAACTGTCCAGAATGAAAAGACTTGTGCACACCCTAACAGAACTTCTGCTGACTGGTCTGACTATTTCCCTGGCAGCACATATTTACTGCTATCTTGGCTGTCAAACCAGTGTTGTCAGGAGATTCCGTTGCATTGATCGGGGGTCTGTTAACTCAGTTGGCTGGACGGCACAACATGGGTTCAACTCCCACACTGTCTGAGGTTACCACTGAAAGACTCTCCTTTACATCTGCCCTCGCCAAAGGCATGGTGACCCTCAGGGTAACTGACCACCAGTTCTCTCTCTAATGAGAGAGCAGCCCTTTACCTTTTACTGCATTGATCTCTCATTCGTTCTTCCTTTGGCAAAAAAATGGTGCTAGAGAAATTGATAGGATTGAAAGCTAATAAATCCCCAGGGTCTGATAATCCATATCCTAGAGTACTTAAGGAAGTGGCCCTGGAAATAGTGGTGTTTATCTTCCAAGATTCTTTAGACTCTGAAACAATTCCAACAGATTGGACAGTAGTGAATGGCAGATTAAAAGGGAGATAGAGAGAAAATGGAATTATTGACCAATGAGTTGAACATCAGTCATGGGGAAGATGCTAGAGTCCATTATCAAGTATTTTATAGCAGAGCACTTAGAAAACAGAGATAGAATCAGACACTGAGCATGGATTTACTAAAGGGAAATCATGTTTTACAAATCTACTGGAATTCTTCGAGGGTGTAACTAGTAGAGTTGACCAGGAGAATCTGGAACGTGGTTTATATGGATTTTCAGAAGGCTTACGACAAAGTCCACATAAGTGATTAATATGCAAAATTAAATTGCATAGTATTGAGTTAGTGTCTTGAGACAGCAGGCAGTGACTCGGTACTCCAGCTATTCACAATATATGTTAATGAATAAGGTAAGGGAACTAAAAGTAATATTTCAAAATTTGATGATGACAAAAAGCTGGGTGGAAGGGTGACCTATGAGGAGGGAGCAGGGATGTTGCAGTGTCATTTGGACAAGCTGACTGAGTGGGCAAATGCATGACAACTGCATTATAATGTGGATAAATGGTTATCTATTTTTGGGAGCAAAAATAGGAATGCAAATTATTATTTGAATGGCTGTAAGTTGAGAGAAGGGAATGCTCAACAAGACCTAGGTATCCTCGTGCACCAGTTGCTGAAAATAAGAATGCAGGTGCAGCAGGCAGTAAAGAAGGCAAATTGTATGTTGGCTTTCATAGTAAGAGGATTTGAGTACAGAAATAAGGATGTCTTGCTTCAATTATACAGGACCTTGTTGAGACTACACCTGGAATTTTATGTGCAGTTTTGGTCTCCATATCTGGGGAAGGATGTTCTTGCTACAGAGAGAGTGCAATGAAGATTTATCAAGTTTATTTCTGGGATTGCAGCGCTGATATATGAGGAGAAATTGAGTCAGTTAGGATTGTATTTATTGGAGTTTGGATGAATGAGGGGGAATTCTCATAGAAATATGTAAAATTCTAACAGGACTAGACAGGTTAGAGGAGGAAGGATGACCCTGATGATGAGTCCAGAATCAGGGGTCATAGTTTAAGCAAAGGGGGTAAACCTTTTTAGGACTGAGATATGGAGAAATTTCTTCACCCAGAGAGTGGTGAGCCTGTGGAATTCTCTGCCACAGAAAGTGATTGAGGCCAAAACATTGTGTTTTCAAGAAGGAGTTAGGTAAAAGGCTAAAGGGATGAAGGGATAAATAGAGAGGGCGGGATTGGGTTATTGAGCTTGATGATCAGCCATGATCATAATGAATGGCATAGTAGGCTCGAGGAGTCAGTGGCCTACTCCTGCTCCTATCTTCTGTGTTTCTATGACATTTTCAATTCTCTAAACTGAAAGTTATCACATCCCGACAATTTGTCAACTTCCAGTCTCATTGATTTCTCCAATACTACATTTTAACCATTATTAATTTCTCTCAATTCTACACATTCTCTAGACTTTTCAGTCTTAATTATTTGAGGGAGACATATAGTGGCTATCTTCGCAGTTGAAGGCACAAAGGACTTTTTTGGCTTCTCTGCCATTTTCTGTTTTTGATTCTAAAGTTTCTTGTCTCTGCCCATAATGGACCCACATCTGTCTTTTCAAATCTTTTCCTCATCACGCACAGAAATGGATTGTACAATCTTTTATGATTCTTATGATTTTAGTTTCATATGGAATCTCATTCTTTAACAAATTCTTTATTCTCCTTTGGTGATTTCTAAAATGCTCCTAGTCCTCATGCTTGCAATATTTTCTGGCAATTTTATAAGTCTCTTCCTTTGCTCTGTTACTACCTTTAACCTCCCTTGCTAGCCATGGCACTCTCACTTTTCCTGTTGTGTAATTTGGCTTTAAAGGAATGCAATGATTTTGATAACCAAGTATCAAGTATTTAAATACTAGCCATTGTACATCTACCATCAAACCTTTTAATATTTTTTCAATCCATTATAGTCATTTCCTCTTCATTTCTTCAGAATTCCCTTGTTTAAATTTAAGACCCTAGTTTCAGACTGAACTACAACTTTTGTAAAAGATATGAGACATTCTATCATAGAATGGTCATTATTCACTAAAATTTCTTTCAAAGTATGCTTATTAATTAGCATCTTCACTTTACATAATACCAGATTAAAATAACCTGTGCCATAGTTGTTTCCTAAACATATTGCTCCAGAAAACTCTCTCAGGCATATTCTAGGAATTCTTCCTTGACACCATTGGTGCTCATTAGATGTACCCAGGCTGTGTAGATTGAAGTCACTCATGATTGCTGTACTTCTCTTGTTACACACACTTCTAATTCCTGATTTTTACTGTGTCTTACCATTACCTATTGAATGGTAGCTTACAAACCATTCCTACCAATGATTGCTACTCCTTGCAGTCTCTTAGGTACACCCAGAAAAGATCCTACATCTTGTTCCTCCAATTGGAGATCCTGTCTCACTAATACATGGTCTTGTCCCTTATAATCAGCAGTGCTCCAACTCCTGTCCTGTTTTGCCTATATCTGCTAAATGTCAAATATCCTTGCATTCTAGTTCCCTGTCTTAGTCACCCTGCAGCTATATTTCTATAATGACAATTAATCTGTACCCTTTTACTTCTACTAGCAGTATCAATTATCTCACTGCAAATGCTGCTTGCACTCAGATAATGTTTTTAACACAATTTGAAAATTTGACTCTAGTTGATCTAGGATTTGTTTCTGCTGATTTCCATCTACAGCTTTTCTGCCTCTATTACCAGCTTTTAAAAATTATTTTTAAATTCCCTTTTAAGTACCCATTGAATAACAAGTTAATTTAAACCTCCTGAATAGCATTAGCATATCTATCAAGAAAGGTATCGTTGGTCCCAATCCTACAAATGTGTCACATATCCTCTTAGTTCAGGCCCCATCTACCCTGCAACTGGTCCTAATGCCTCAAATCTAAAGCTCTGCCTCTTGCATTAGTTTGCCAGCCATCGGTTCAGTCACTCGATCTTGTATTCCACAGTCGTTAGCATGAGGTATTGACAGCAATTCTGAATTAATGCCTTTTCAGTCTCGTCTAGCGCCCTAAATCCTATTTTTCAGAACACCCTCTACCTTACAAAATTAAAACATTTAAACAAAGAATCCTACACCACTTTAGATATCCTTGACTCTGAGGGATCAACATACCATCCTGGAGTGGCATCTACAGTGGCAGAAATCATTTCTGTGCTAAACGTACCTTTTCTGGTCAATTGGAAGTTGGACCTTAAGATTCAATAACAGAGGACACTAGCCACTGTTGCACAGGGCACATTAGTACATGTCACAAATCATCTTACCAACTAACACTTTGTCCTAGTCTTCAGACATTCTGTTGAAGATAGGTTGTAGCAGTCTCTCCATCCCAGATGCGAAAAGAACCGCGTCAAGGTTTAAACCTTGTGCAAGTTAAGGAGGCCCTGGAAACGTAAGCAACCCTTCAATGCTTCAGAAAAGGAAGGGCTGGGAAGGCGGAGAAGAGGAGATCTGGAATAAACTGCGGTCTCTAAAATAGATCCAATATATCTGGCAATATATATTAATCGCTTTCATAATTGTGAATGGCCTTGCGGTCTAGAAAAATAGCCTTACGTTATATTTAAATTGAAAACCGTATATATTTCCCTTCTACGCAAGTGGCGTTTTGAAATTAGGGCGCTTTTTGCCCTCAGAAACCACAGGTCACGGAGATGCCGTCAAACCCGGAAGCTGTGTGAATTATTTTAGAAAACGAGTTGAGAACGCGATTCTGAGCCCTTCAAACCTTTCCGCTTCCTGTAGTGACTGTTCCCTGATATAATTAAAAGTCGGTATATTTTCTGTAAAGAAATCTTTGCGTCGGGTTTAGGAAAGCAGCTCTGAAGCAGGCTGTTTTGAAGAAAGAGGAGAGGGGTGCTCAGAGCTTTGCACTGGATAGATACAGTGTGGCGACGGCGTGCTGATGTACATTGTTGCAGCTGCATAGTGGGCCCGAATGGCGAGCGAGGGCCCCAGCAACAGCAGTTTAACGTGCGCGGACGAGCCTGCTCCGGACGGCTTCTGCGATGTATGCGAGCCGGACGAGGCACGGCTCGCCCTCAAGCTCTGCGACGTCTGCTGTCTCTCCTTCTGTGAGCTGCACGCCCGCGAGCACGACGCGAAGCCGGCCCGGCGCCAGCACGGGCTCCGGGACTTCCAGGCAGCCACTGAAAGCCCGGGGTCCCAGCCGTCGGACGCGGCTAACAAGGCGGAAGCCTCTGATGGAGATGGGAAGCAAGGCGAGAGGAAGAAATGCGTGGATCACAACCAGGAGATTACACTTTACTGCAAAGACGACGAGAAGATCATTTGCGTCCTGTGCGCCCTAGGCCCCCACCGTCAGCATCAACTGATCACACTGGACGAAGCCTACCTAGCCCTGAGAGTAAGTTGCGTGCAAGTTCACAGGAATCCTATTAAAATGGAAGAAAATAAAATTTGCCCGCTGTATTTTTGGGGGCGTACTACGTGCAATACATTCAACGATTGTATAGTGCGGTCCGGAAGGGCTCCTTGTGGCAGCATCCCTACTTCTGTGCTAAGAGGAGTTCAGTTCCACCTGCTGCAAGGATGTATAGTAACATCTCTAAACAGATTGATTAGAAACTACAGAGCAGTTAGGTTATTGGACTGTTCAACTCGGGTCTGGATGGAATTCTCTTCGGAGGGTGGGTGTGGACCCGATCGGTTGAATGGTCTGCTTCCACACTGTAAGGATTCTATGATTATACCTCAAGACTTTTCAGACGCTGTGGTTCCAGTATGGGAATATGGGGATTAAACCCAGTAATGGACACTGCCAACAATTCCTTTTTCGACTGAATCACCCACAGCTCCACAGAGTTTCCCTTCATGACAACCTCCACGCCTGAGTTACACAACACCAACAACCTGGATTTGTGTAACACCCTTAACATAAAACTTTCTAAGTCATTTCACAGGAGCATTGCAGAATAAGGTAGGGCACCAAAACACAGTGTAAGAACATAAGAATTAGGAGCAGGAGTAAGCAATTCAGCCCCTCAAGCCTGCTGCACCATCAAGTATAATCATGGTTAATCTCATCTCAACCTCAACCCCACTTTCCTGCTAGCTCTCCATGACCCTTCAACACATTAATAGTTAGAATCAAACTCAGGTGTGAGATCTCCTTACTGTAACAAATCACACACCAAATAATATTGCCTAAAAAATACAATGTAGCTGCTGAGACCATTGTTAATCCTAGTCCTCCATGTTCCCCATATTTTCCAGTATTTGGATTCCTTTAGCTTGGATCTCAAGTTTTGTTATGCATTCACAGAAGATCATGGTGAGTTGCCTTCTTGAACTGATGCAGCTTTGTGTTATAGGTACACCTATAATACTGTAAGGGAGAGAGAACCAGGATTTTGACCTCATGAAAATGAAGGATCAGTGACATAGACCCAAGTTAGCATAACGTTTGGAGGGTAAGTTACAGATGGTGGAGTACCCATTCATCTGCTGCCATTTCCCTTCAACATGGCAGTGGGCATGTGGTTTGGAAGGTGAAGTCAAAAGAGATTTGGTCAGTCGTTGCAGTGTATCTTGTAGATGGTGCACAGTACTACCAATGTATGTCAGTGGTGAAGGGAGTGAATGTTGAAGATGGTGGATGGAGTGCCAATCAACCAAGATGTTTAACCTGGGTGGTGTTAGCTTTCTAAATCTTACTGAAACCGCACCCATCCAGACAAATTGAGAGTATGCCATGACGTGCATCCTGCGGATAGTGGACGTGCTTGGGGGGGTCAGGTGGTGAGTTACTCACAGCAGAAATCCCAACTGCTGACTTGCTTTTGTAGCTGCAGTATTGATGTGGCTAGTCCAGTGGTCCAGTCTAGTGGTTAGATTGTGAGGTGCGAATGTCACTTGCCACTTGTCATACTAAGCCTGGATATTGTCCAGTTCATGATGCATTTGGACATGGTATCACTATCTGAGGAGTCACAAATGGTGCTGAACATTCTGTAATCATTGGTGAATGTAACCACTTCTGACCTTATGATGGAGGGAAGGTCATTGATGAAGCGGCTGAATATGGTTGGCCTTAGGACTCTATCCTGAGGAGCTCCTGTAGAAATGTCCTAGAACTGAGATGATTGACCTCCAACAACCACAACCATCTTCCTACGTGCCAGGCTTCACTCCAAACAGTGGAGAGCTTGTGTCCTGTTCCCATTGATTCTGGTTTCACTCTTTAATGCCACCCTGGTTTGAATGTGGCCATGATGTCAAGGGTTGTCACCCTCATCTCACCGCTGGAATTCTGTACTTTTGTCCATGTTTGAACCAAGGCTGTAATGAGGTCAGGAGCTGAGTGACCCTGGTGGAACCCAAACTGGGTGTCACTGAGCAGGTGCACAGTTGATGACACCTTCTATACCTTTACTGATGGTCAAGAACAGACTGACGGGTCAATATTTGGCCAGGTTGGGTTTGTCCTGCTTTTGTGTACACAACATAATTGGGCAATTTTCCACATTATTGGGTAGATGCTTTGTGTTATAACTACTGAAAAAGCTTGGCTAGGGGAGCAGCAAGTCTTTAGTACTGTTGCTGGTATGTTGCCAGGGTCTACAATCTTTGTCACTTCTGATCTTATGCATGGAAGGTCATTGACGAAGCAGCTGAAGATGGTCAGGCCAAGGACACTACCGTGAGGAACTCCTGTAGAGATGTCCTGGAGCTGAGATGGTGGACCTCCAGCACTCACAATCGTTTTCCTTTGTGCCGGTTATGACTTCAACCAATAGAGAGAAAGTTCATCAGGAGGAAACAAGTCGGCAATAGCCCCAAAGGCTGGAATAATTTAAGAATCCAACAAAGATTGACTGAAAAGATAATAACCTATAGGAAAAACTAGTGAGGAATAAAGAAACTGTCATTAATAGCTTCTTTAAATATATAAAAAGGAAGAGAAAGGTCAAAGTGAACATTGGCCCTTAGGAAATGAATCTGACGAGAGAGTTCTGAAGAACAAGGAAATAGCAGAGGAGTTAAAGAGATGTTTTGCATCAGTCTTTGTGGTGGAAGATACTTCCAACATCCCATTAATACTAAAGAATATGATTGTGGAGGGGGGGGACTTATGTAACATCACCATCAGAAGTAGTGTTAGACAAATTAATGGGGCTAAAGCAGGTAAAACCCTTGGCCCTGATAGCTTGTATCCTCGGATCCTAAAAGAGGTAGCTACAGAGATCTACTACAGAGATAGTGATGCATTATGTTATAAAGTTGTGTAGAGTAATCATGAATTAGAAGGCAGGAAGCTAAAATATGTTTGTTTCTAAAAAAGAGGGAGAAGAGTGAGTGGCTCCTTTATGAGGTAAAGTGCTTTTCTAAGCTGAGAGATTTATACAGAAAATGTGTCTAAGCAGCTGAAGGAATACAGACAGTTCTGAAATTGAACTATGTATCAATTGAACTGTGTGATGGAAACTTTAGGCTTGTTTTGATGTTTTGGCAACTAGCTGGAATCAGCCAATTAATTTAAACCAAGCACTTAGCGATTGAAAGCCAATTGAATTTAAATCTGATGGTTTTAACAACCTTGGACCAATGCTATTGTAAGAAAATTGATATGTCATCCAAGGCACATAAGGAGAGGGTTTTTGAAAATCGGTGTGAGAACAAACCGCTATCTGAGAAATGAGCACCTAGCTTTCACAAGAAATCACCAAGCTCTCTAAGAAAGCACTGACTATCCATAAAAGCTACCACAGCATTTCTAGCTAAGAGTCCTCATAGAAGACTTCACAGAGAAAACATCCCTAACAGCCAGATCGGCTGAAGAAAGGTGTTTATAGGCTGATTAGCCTAATATCTATTGTTACAAAAGTGTTGTAATTAGTTATTAAGGAGGTATTAGCAGCATATTTGGAAAATCATAAACAAATCAAATGGAATCAGCATGACTTCATGAAAGGGAAATTGTGTCTGATTAATTTATTAGTGTTTTTCAAGGAAGCCTCAACCATAATTGATAGAGGGGAACTAGTAGATGTGTTGTACCTGGAGTTCAAGACAGCATTCTAACAAAGTCCCTCACAAAAGATTAAGTCATAAGATAAGAGACCACGGTGTTGAAGGCATTATTTTGGATTGGATAGAGAATTCACAAATGGGCAGGACACAGCAAGTAGGGATAAGAGTTTCTTTTTCAGATTGGTGACCTGTAACCAGTGGGATTCCACAGGGATCAGTTCTGGGACCCCAACTGTTTACAATATATATTCATGACTTGGTAGAAGGACACAAATATAACGTAACCAAATTTGCAGACAACGCAAAAATAGGTGGAAAACCAAGTTGCGAGAGGGATGCAAACAGTTTGCAGAGAGATTAAGTGAGTGGGCAAGAGGTTGACAACTGGATTATAATGTAGGAAGTTGTGAAGTTGTTTGCTTTGGAAGGGAAAACAAAATAAATATTATTTAAGTGGAGAAAAACTGCAGAAAGCTGCAGCATAAAGGGACTTGGGGGTACTTGTGCATGACACACAAAAAGCTAGCACAACAGATGCAGCAGATAAACAGGAAGGTTAACGGAATGTTGACTCTTATTTCAAGGGAGTTAGAATAAAAGAGTAGGGAAGTCTTACTGCTACTACACCAAGTGCTGTAGAGAGCATATCTGGAGTAATGTGAGCAGTCTTGGTTCCCTTAATTAGGGAAAGATGCAATTTCATTGCAGAAAGTTCAGAGAAGGTTCATTTGGATGATCCCTGGTATGGAGGGATTGGTTTATGAGCAAAGGCTAAACAGGTTAGGACCCTACTCATCAGAGTTAACAAAATGAGAGGTGATCTCATTGAAACATACAGGATTCTTAAGTGGCTTAATAGGATAAATGCTCAGAGAATGTTTCCCCTCCTGGGAGAGTCTAGGACCAGAGAGCATAGCCTCTGAAAACAAGACATCAGTGAGAAGTTTACAGAAGTATTTTCAGAGCAGCCACAAATGATGGACCAAAGGAAGTCAAAGGTACACAGATCAAAATTGGAAGAGCACATGGATCTTGGAAGTTGTAGGAAATAACAGAGATAGGTTGAAGGTGGGTGAAACTGTGGAGAGATTTGTAAACAAGGAGAGAATTTTTAAATTGTCAGACTGAGGTAAGTGTAGGTCAGTGAATATGAAAGCAATTTCACATCCACAAGGAGGTTAGCAACAAAATGCAATCCAGGCTTGTTTGGGGATGCCATATTGCCCAGATAGACAATTGCCTTGATCTACAGTGGGACAACTAAAGGACTGCTATCTCTATTTTCAGATTTTAATGGTTTATCTTTACTGTTTTGGCAGTGTTCTGCACTTGGAGTAGGGGTAGCAGAGTGAAGGATGATATATGTTGAAAAAC